ATAAGTCCAAAGTTCTGAAATTGGCTTCTTCCACTCAGCACAGAATGTTCTTGAGACCCATCCAGATGGTTACAGGTGTTAATAGTTGGATCCTTTTCATTGCTGAGCAATATTCCATTGCACGGGTATACCATTATTTATCCAGTTGCCTTTTGAAGGACATTTCAGTTGTTTCCAGTGTAGGGCAATCATCCCTAAAGCTGCTATAAATCATTTTCTACACATTTTTGTGGTCACAGTCCTCTAGTGCTTACCAGTGTTTACATAAAGGTTACTTGACCTTTAAAATGCCCACTCTTGCAGATTATGAATTATTCTAATTCCATGGATCTTACAATCGCATGCTAGAAGCTCTTAGCGCACACCCTCAAGGGAAACTTGCGCCCTCCTGTAATCGCACAAAACGGGGGTTCCTAACACTTCCTGTCTGGTAGAATTTGCAATCCTCAACTCTTCCTTTAAGATGCTGTGTTTTACAAATAATTTTTAAATCACAGTAAATTAAACTTCATCCTGAGGTTTATTTGTTTTGACATGTCACAGTATTCCTTTAATATTTCAGATGAGGAAACATCAATCATGCCAATGCTATGCTCTGACAAGGCGTTTTGTGCCTTAGGCCCAAGGTTCTCGGACTGTGGTTCTGGGCCGGCAGCCTCAGCATCACTCGGAAACTTGTTAGAAATGCAAATACCTGGGCCTCACTCCACACGCGCAGAGCCTGACACTGAATCAGAGGGACCAGCAATCTAATCTGTCTTGGAATGATCCCTCCAGGTGATTGCGATGCACGTGCGGGTTTGAGAACCACTGCTTTAGAGATGGGCCTTTTATGTAGCCCAGAGATGGAACATCGCAGTCTGAACTTCCCTTTGAGAGGACGTACTCACTCACGCTTATGTCCTTCTGTAAGAGGATTCACTGAAGACTAGGGTGGCGCATTTGTGTTAAAAGACGAGCCCTTGGTCAGCAACTGACGTTTAGAAGACAGCATAGTTCACTTCGGTCACTGGGGCAGAGTTTTGGAATCAAAACCTGAAATGTACAGAAATCCCTAACTGCTCATTTGAAACGACACATTCATTTTCCCTACCCTCTATGTCCATCTTGCCATTTCATCAATGCTGATGGGCAGAGAATGGGCATAAATGCAACTTTCCTGTCTTCATTGACTCCATTCTGTAACCCTGTCCCTAATGAGAGACTGTTTATTAGCAGCGAAATAAATGAATTCAGAAAGGAAGTGAAGTAGTGACACAGCCAGCTCAGGTCACCCCACCACTGGTGTCATGATAATAGGGATGACTCTTCCAGAATACTCACATAACCAGGTTGTGACTTTTATGGATAATGCATATAATATATACATGTATGTGGTATGTATGTGTATCTAAATAAACAGATGACTTTATACACATATATTTAGTAAAGAGTTGGCTTATATATCCCAACAATAAATCTGTAGGTAATCCATTTATCCAAGTAAACCTGGCTAGCTAATTTATATAATGAATCAGAGAGATTTAGAAATTTAGAGCAATATGTTCTCCGTATATAATGTAAAATATATGGATACCAAGTAAATTCTATATTTACCAATAAGCATTATATCTAGATTTTGCATTTCTTCAAGTTAGCTAAATGGAGAGACAAATAAGATTATTTTGGTTATTTGTTTGCTTCAGGTCACAAAAATAGAATTAACAAATTTTAAAAAAAAACATTTAATTAACACAGTCCTTAAATCTCTCTGCCCAAGTCTGTTCACAAAGCCACTACCTCTGAGAAATAATTAAGAATCAGGTCTATTTTCATACTGCGCTTAGCTTTTTCTAGGGCAGGGCTGAAACTTCCGTTAAGCCCACCACTTCCTTTGTCTGAGGAACGGACTTCCTGAGGGCAGAAGGAGAAAAAGGCCACTTTGATCCTGTACATCTGCCAAGAGCCACCAACCGTCACCCTCTGCGCGCAACACAAGGGAGAGCTCAGGCGAAGCATGAGTGTGTGTGTGTTCCAGGTGGCGGGGGGCTGCTCGGAAGAAAACAAACTGAGGACAAACAATCAACGGAGGAAGCTCAGCCGGGTGACTTCTAATTGATGTTTTCCAGCAAATAGTTTCAGGGGAAACATATTAGTAAAAATGGGTCATTTCACCCTCATTGTCAGTGCATTGCATAAATATGTGTTGGCAGGTATGCTGGAAGTAGGTTTATCTACCTGGCGTTAGTGCTTCCCTGGGGGACGGAAGGCAGAGTATAAATGACCAGTGTAGCTCTCCTGCCCATCATGACAGAAGAAACGCTAGAACCCACAGCTGAAGACAAGCCAATGTGCCTTAACTGGAAACAATCACAGACGAGTACCATCCAAATGACTTTGAGAGCCCAAACCTCGTGAATCCATTAGGGAAAAAAATGGAAAAGCAACTTTTCTTTAGACTCTACTCATCACTGAATAGGTATCTCCAAGACAATTTTTTTCATGAATTTACTAAAAATTTTTTAAATTAATATTTTCCCTTAGTCACTCATCTCTGTCTATTCATTTGCACATAAGTGTGAACTAGTAGGTCCTTGGGTCATAACGTTGCTTCTAAGTTGGGCAGTGAGGAAAGATACAGGTTTAGATGGTCTGTAGTTTTCTTTTCATTGTTCTTTTCATTAACTATGTGATATATATTATTAACACCATATAAAAGCCAATGCAAAAGAATCCCACCCATCAACATGATTTTCTTTATATTCCTTTTTTTTTCCCAGTAATCCACGGACAGATAAAATACTTGTGACTCTAATTATAACATCATAGTATTTTCACAACAAATATTGTTTTGAAACTATATATATATAGTTTCATTACACATTTTCTTAAAGGTTTCAATATTTTAATGGATAAATAGTCCCTGTAGGAGAAAGCAGGAAGGAGATAACATTTCTACAGGCGGCAAGTATTTGACGTACAGTAACTCATGAAGGGAGTATCGTTGCCCATATAGTCTAAAAAGGAAGTTGAAGCTCATAATGGTTAATGAACTTGGCTGGGCCACTGAAAGGCAGAAATGGAATTCAAACTTAGGTCATCTTGACCTAAGCCTATTGCTTTTCTAGGACACTAAGAGAAAGTGTGTCCCACAGGTAGGTGACATCAGGAGCTGAGAATCTATCCTCGTCCCAAACGACAGCCACAGTACAGAGTTGAGATGCATGCACACACATTTCCACCCACTCTGTACCGGGGTAAAAGTTGGTTTCCATGTCTTTTTTGTTAGGGCCCTGCCACATACCCTTCTGCTATCCCGGCTCTCAATTCCTGGGCCGGAGCTCCAGGTGAGATTTAAATCTCTGGCTTTCATATAGCTTTTGCCTATTACAGTATAAATCACATTAAATAGAAAAAAGCAAAAAAAAAAAAAGGATGAAATAGTCTTTCCTTAGACAAGAATCCCAAGGTATGTGACAACAGAAATTTTACCACAGCTGTGACCACAACCAAGAACAGATCACGTGGGCACACAAGTCTCTTTGACCACAAGAGAGAGTTCATAACTATCAGTTAGCATTTACACTGCCAAACAATAATACAAATTATTTTCTCCCAAATAACAATAATCCAATAACAGTGGCCAAATAACAATGATCAGAACTGATCCGCAGGTAAATTCAGAATCAGTAGAGGACTGATTATTCCTTATCACTGTCTCTGGGGCTTCGGCACATAACACAGCAGAGCTACAGAAATCTTGGATCTCTCATACTGATCAGACTTTCTGCCTGGGAAAACAAGGTAATTTGAGGGTAGAAGGAGCATGCCAAGGAAAAGAATTCCTGCAAAGCACAACGAATGACACTAATGACCTAATCAATACAGAAATACAGATTTCCTCACAAATGGCCACTCAGTAGCTGTCCTAAAAAGTTCAGAAAAGCATCACGTTCCTTTCATTTGGATTTTTCTTACTGTTTACCAGTGTACTTCATCAGGAGTTGACGCTCTATCAGTGAAAAACTTACACAAGTCCCCCAAGACTTGTCGGAAAATATATCAGTCCTTTCAAGTTTGCACGTCCAGGTCTATTTAGTAGCCACCCATTTCTTGACCGACAGTACAAACCATTTGATCCCTGCCTAAGCCCGAGGATCTAATCTATAAACAAGGACACATGTGGTATCACCTAATCCTTTCCTAAAACATCAAAACCAATCTATTTTTCACAGCCAGGTCAAAGCAAAGGGGTAGTGTTTTCTGGTGATTTTCAGAAAATTGATTTTAGAGCCTTCTTCTCCTCCTAGATCGGTTTGGTGAATCTCTGATTCTACAAATGGTCTTCCGTTGGCTTTGGCTATTGCTCTTATCTGCGAAGTGTACAAATCACAAGTCCACTGTAACTTTATTTGAAATCATTTCCAGGGCTCAAAGTCCCAGATTGCTCCTGGAAGGGTGCTAAGATTAAACTCTCTACCTTTTCTAGACAAATCTAGAGGCCCTAGTTAACTTTCTTTGTAAATGTGCATCAGAGCCACAACCTCACCCCAGGTGAGTCTCCATTAGCAGATAATAAAGTGTCGCATGGAATTTTGTGCATATGTGGTATAATAAATCATCCATGCCCAATTCTCTTTTCAAGGTTCCTACTGACCATCCACGCTGATAAACTGTCAAACCCTACTAACCGTGCAGATGAGCCCCTTTTAGAAAGTCATGTGGACTTTATGTGTCCCCAGATAGCCTGTCCTCACTGAACCCTTGGCTTGGAATTGCTTATCATGTACAGTGTGACTGGGCTGAAAATGAACTCCAATTATGCATGAACAAAACACTCAAGATAACAGCCGCAGCATGAAAACATTCTCCAGATTGGGAGGGACCTTAAGGGGATGCTTTATTTTTGTGAGGCCAATGGCATCAGGCAAAGGTTGTGATAAGGACAAAACAAAGGATAAGCAAATAAAAAAGGATGAGCACCAGATAGAAATAAATGAATAATAGTAAGCACTGGGCTAAGTTGTTCAGCTTTAATTCTTACAACTGGCTCGTTTTAGAAATGAGGAAGCTGAGGTTTAGAAAGCTTAAGAAATTTATGGAGTTGCAGAGCGGCATCTGAACCCTGGTCTGGGACCTCATATCCCCTTCACAACTATTCTTGGTAAGATTTTCTTCAAATCATTTCCCTCTTATGTTGTAATGTTAGTCCTTATTTTCAGGCTAAAACAAAATGTCTAACCAAAATTTATAGAGAAATGCAATATTAAACCAGTCCATGGAGATTATACAAAAAATACCATTGAATTATAGAAACTAAACTGGAAGAGATTTAGGCAATCCTCTGATGTAATCCTGTTGCTTTACGAGTAACTTCTAAAAGTAGATTCTTTCTCAGTGTTTCAGGGCAAGATATTGGAACATGAACCAGGTCTGGGGCCATGTATCCAGTATCTCTCTGCTTCCAAAAACCTAACTATTTCTCTCTGCCAATGGAAAGAAGTGCATCTTTTACAACGAAAGAAAAACAAATCATCCTTCAGGTATCCAATAAAGCAAATCTTTTACTCCTCTGAAGTTTGATATGTAAATCCATCTCCAGATTACAGACACTATTTTTCAGTCTATTAAAGACTTTTATATTGCCCTGCCTGGCGTAGCTCAGTGGATTGAGCTTGGGCTGTGAATCAAAGTGTCACAGGTTCGATTCCCAGTCAGGGTACATGCCTGGGTTGCAGGCCATGACCCCCAGCAACCACACATTGATGTTTCTCTCTCTCTTTCTCCCTCCCTTCCCTCTCTAAAAATAAATAAATAAAATCTTAAAAAAAGACTTTTGTAATACTCTGAAACTATTTTAGTGTCCTCTCTCAAACACACAGATGTGGCACCTCAAAACAAACTTGAAGAATAATCTGCCTTTAGAAAAAGCTTTTTAATTCTAAACAGATATTGGTATGATCTGATATAAACTTGAACTTTGCTGTTCAGAATCCCAGTTCTACTTGAATCAGTTGGTTGGGACTCTAATAAGCCATAATGTAAAGGTGTTTTTTCAAAAGGTCAAAAAAGAAGAGAGTGCCTCATCTCAATTTCAAATAGATCTTCTTAATTAATCAGTTGACTCCTTTCTCTTGGTGGAGAGCTTCCCATCTGATGGTTTTAGTTTCTGGCCTCACCATTAGTAGACCTTTCCCGCAGCAACTAACCAGTGGTGTTCATTCTTCCCTGTTCGTTTTCTGGAAACAGTATGGTTTCTACTCCTGAGACAACGCCTCTGGATTTTCCTAGTTAGCTTTCCCAGTAAAGAAATGTTTTTCCAATTTGTCAAAATTAATTCACATTGCTTTATCATCTGTCATTTTGGAGTTTCCTCATATTCTCAATCATCCAAGTCATTGTTCAAAGTGTTAAATTGCCTTTAAGTCTCCCAAATACCTATAAAATCCAATAGAGCCAATTTCCCAAGTGTTTAGCATGAGGCCCGACACAGAAAACTCTCAATAAACATTTGAAAAACAAGGACGGAGAAATGAATGAATACTTATGGTATCTGATGCCAAGACAAGTCTTGCTGCCTGTCACACAAGAACTGAGCTCTCCTCCATTCAAATGGCATAGAAATTCCCCCACTTTGACATAGTGTGGCCCAGAATATATTTTCTGACTTCCTGAGGAGAAGACCAGCTGTGGTAGAATCTATTGCTTTCTATGTATTCCCAAAGCCTGCCACAGTCTCAGCGAAGAAAAAGAATGTGTTTCTCATCTGTCTAAATCAAGGTGCCAGGTTTTGGTTTTCTTTGGGAAGTGGAAGGGTGAATAGACATTCATTCAATTGGAACCACACACGGCATATCTTAAAATATAGGAGGTAAATTAAGAGATACACTCTGAATCATCTGTATCCCTTCCTTTTGGATTACACGGTTTTTATAGGGAGGGGTGAAGCATTACTCCAGTTTTCAGTGATCCTGAGTGGATTAAATGGTTTGTTATTTAACCCTGGTTAATCCTACTGCTATTCCCCCACAGCAGGAAGAAAAGTGCTCTCTCTTGAAGCTTGGTCAGAATGTTCTGCTTAACACCTTAACACCGGAACAGGGGTCTGCAACTCCTGTTTCCCAGGATTTCTCTTCTCCCTCCCCTACTCACCCCTGCCTTCTAAGCCAAGGCTGCCTACTTGCCCAGATCTCCAGAGGAGTGAATTCCTTCCCTGCATCCTGGATCACCTTCGTCACGGTTAATCTCTCCAAAGGCCATATCTAGTAAACATGAGTTGTCTCTAGCTCTCTTGGAAATTGTTTGTGAACTTGCCTTGGATTCATCCGTCTCCATGTACATGGAAATGTGATTTATGTATTCAGTTTAAGTGGACTGTTTAGGGGCCTTGTTATTCTTGTAGAAATCTTATTCATTGCCTGAGATCTGAAGAAGAAACTTCTTTGTAACAGCCAAAATAATCTTCAGGTCAGTTGCAATTTAAAAATAAGGGCATCCCTTTGTTCTCTTTTTCAGAAAGATAAATGTTAAATCCACTTCAGCTGAAACTTTAAGGGAAAAAATACAATTAAAACTTTGCTTAGAGCTGATTTTGAATGCTGAATATTAAATGCCATCAACAATATAAAGGTCAGTTTTTAATTCAGGAAACTTTGATTAAACATCTGCCACATGTAAGCAAGAATTGCTAAGGACAATAAAGAAAAATGTATTGGGAAATATGCTTTTTGGCTAAATCACTTCTTGCTTAATGTGAGTTACATAAATGACTCTCGTATTTAAGTATGTGTCTTATGATGAATATATATTATAATACTATAATACTATATTATATATCATGTATATTATAGTATAGTATATATATTATACTATATAATATATAGTATAATAGTATAGTATAATACTATATTATAGTATAGTATAGTATAGTATACTATACATGATATATATAATACTATATTATATATCATGATATATGATATGTATTATGATATTTATGATATATATGATATATATATATGATATATACTATAATTTTTCTAGTCTTTGGTTTTTGTTTTGTTTTTCAGCCAATATTAGAATACCAAAGGTTATACATTTATTCCTAGGTACCTTCAGAGAAGTTTCATTGTATAATTTCCTGACTGTGATATCCCTAAGAATGGCTGGCATTCAAATTATAATTAAAAAATAAAGTGCGATTATCTGATCATTCACTGTTTTGCATGGCTCGTCTTCTTTTGTGGTTCTCCATTTCCTGATGGGGAGTCTATTGAGTAAATCCCAATTATGAGGGAGATTTTCCTATCTTTGGACCATTTCCACCCAGGTGTGGAAATGATTCGTTTCAGCAAAACCGGGTGCAAAGGCTTCAGGATCAGAGGCCAGGTCAGCCGCCCAGTCCAAACAGCTCACTCGGCGCTCAGAGCACTTGGTCAGGGTGCCGGGGAGCGCATCAGCAAGCCCAAAGCGGCACCGCTTTCCGGTCTGGTCTGGGAGGGGGTTGAAAGCTGGCTCCACCTCCCAGCCCCTCCAAATCTGCGGCCTCCTGGCTCTCACCCAGCCCTTCAGGATTCCACGTGATTTCTCCATGGGTCCGTGCCAACCCCTTTTTAGTTGGTTCTTCAGCCATCCCTCTTAGATGGTACAAATCACACAATTAAAATGCTTTGGAGAAAAAAATACCTGTATGCTCATTATGTATACACGTCTAGATGGGCCACCCCTGTCCTGAGAGACTGACAGAAGACAGTGGCCTCATGTAATGCACTCGTCCTGGGTGGGTTGCCACACTGGCCTGGCCTTTACTGTTTAGGCACAGAAGGAGTAAAGCTAGTCTCCAATTGTCACCATCCAAATTTTTATGGGGTGGGAACAGAAGAACTTTCAATTACTAAAAAAAAAATGTAAAAATTACGAAAAATGTCTTAAAGGGAGGTTTTGTCTCACGTAATGAGGTTAAGTCTCTCTCTAAAGTTTTTCATATGACGATAATGGTTTCTTTATAGTGAATAATACCTATAGTCCAAATACTTTGTTCCGTCCGACAAGGTAGGCCTTATTGTACTTTATGTTCTCATAAAGTGAAGCAATGAGCAATTAACAGAATTGCTAGAGTCACGTAACTAGTAATTAGTTCAGACTGGATTGGTGTTTCTACATAATTTAATCTGCTGAAACTATGAAGCACAGAGAGGTTTAGAGTCTTGGCCATGGTTACACGATTAGTTATTTTTTCAGACCCAGAAGGCAAACACTGGGGCCAGTGGTTCAGGTGGTAAATTACATATTTATGAAGGTAAGTTTTGGGGAAGTGAGATTTGGATACACCACCCCATATAGGCCTGTTTTCCTAGACCTTTTCTTTCAATCCACGTTTTGTAACTTTTTTGAACCTGCAAAATCTCATGGAGGCCTATGCTTCCTTGGGGTAATGGCTTCCTTCCTTTAACACACACAGTGACCTGCTCCCTCTCAGATAAGCACCGAGCACACCTTTGGTGTACATCCCCTTGGTTAGTTTTAATTTCACTTACTTTTGACTGGAAGTTCCAATGAGTTCAAAATGGCTTCCTAGCCCTGGCTGGCGTAGCTCAGTGGATTGAGCGTGGGCTGTGAACCAAAGCATCGCAGGTTCGATTCCCAGCCAGGGTAGATGCCTGGGTTGCAGGCCATGACCCCCAGCAACTGCACATTGATGTTTCTCTCTCTCTCTTTCTCCCCCCCTTCCCTCTCTAAAAATAAATAAATAAAATATTTTATTATTATTTTTATAGACATTTATTTTCCTCTTTTTTAAAAGATTTTATTTATTTATTTATTTATTTTTAGAGAGGGAAGGGAGGGAGATAGAGAGAGAGAGAGAGAGAAACATCAATGTGCGGTTGCTGGGGGTCATGGCCTGCAACCCAGGCATGTACCCTAGCTGGGAATCGAACCTGTGACACTTTGGTTTGCAGCCCGCGCTCAATCCACTGAGCTACGCCAGCCAGGGCTAATAAAATACTTTTAAAAATGGCTTCCTACATAATAGCAGACAAATAATGCAGACATTACAATAATCTGCATGTTAAAACAAAATCCCTCTTGACACGATACATGCACATACACACGTGCAATCTTACATATATCAACTTTGTCACATCTTACTGGGTATGCTCTCTCATCTCTTGACGCTGGGAAAAAGGAATAAACACTGAGAACTGTCATTTGTAGTTCCAGATCAAGACAATACTTACAATAACAATGAAAGATTACAGCATCCAGTCGCTGGAGTGTCTAATTGTGCAGATAGCAACAGCATGTACACGAAACATGACTGCATGCTACATTATATTGTTTTTCCACAATTCTGTTAGTGATTATGTGGAAATTTCAGGGTTGGAGTAAGATTTTAATCTTCACAAAGGAAGTAACTTTGCTGTGACCAAAGTTAAAACAGCACCAGAGTGGAAAAAAAATACAGAATCATTAATATCAGCTAGTTGTTTGCAATGGGGTTTTGAATTCATCTTTAATGTTATGTCATGTTTGATAATTTCTTAAAGTTCTCACAATACCAACATATTTAATTTAATTTAAAATAAACAAATATACCTGGCTAGTGTGGCTCAGTGAATTGAGCGCCAGCCTGCAAATCAAAGGGTCAGGGGTTTGATTCCCCCTCAGGGCACATGCCTGGGTTGCGGCCCCATCAGGTCCCCAGTAGGGGGCGTGTGAGAGGCAACCACACATTACTGTTTCTCTCCCTCCCTCCCTCCTTTCTCCTCTGTCTAAAATAAATAAATACAATCTTTAACGAAAATGAAAAATAAACAAATGTAAAATTATGTAATTTAAAAGTGTTAGTGCAATCATTCTCATAAGCCAGATAAAATAAATAGGATTGTAGACATGACTGCAAAATCGTGAAAATTAACAAATTTGGCAGAATTCAATAGCAATTTTAACACAAGTATGTGTTATGCTGGCTTAAAGAGTCACCATTTGACTGTAAACCTTAATCTCCCCCCTCTCAAAAGTGCCATATTTTCAATCAAAAGTTTTGCTTTTAATACTCTGGTTTTTTAAAAGATAGTGTTATAGAGAAGAAATGAGTATTTAAAGCTTGTAAATGCTGGAGAAGTCTTGGTTCTGTGACATCCTCAAATGGAATCTGTTTATTTTCCGTCCAACAGCTTTTTGATGATTAAATTAAATCAAATGCCAACAATGCTGGGATGTCTACCAAAGGTACATACATATTAATCAGCAAAATGCTAAGGAAAACATGTCAATGCAGAATATAGATATTTTCTTATCAATAAATGTTGGGAACTTCATGTGGGGATTTTAGGTTGTGGTTTTAGAAACATTTTGATAACTTGTGATAAAAGCTGCAAGAATAATTTAATGGGTTTTTATTTTCTTATTGAGTGTATGAAAAAGTAAAACTTATAGACAGTTATGCTTAGCCCCTGAATGCCAGTGAGTTTCCATGCCCTTCCTCCACTCTCTGTCAACCCACGGTTTGATTCTTCTAGATCTCTGTAGCAGTGATAAGATCATCTGAGAGGAACTCAAATTACCAAACAAGTATGTGAGGGCTGGGCCTTCTGATCTGCATGTCAAGGGGTACTATATTTGGGCTTATAGGGCCATCAGACTTTTAGAAGTTAATATTCCACTTTGTTCTCTGACAATCTTGAAATATTTTGCCTCAATTATTGGTATTGATGCTCAGTTCTGACTCGATCAAAACATGTCAACATGCATTACTTTTTTTTCCTTTAAGGTATGATTCCGTGGTCAAGAGTGTTCTAAAGTGAGTATTGTGTCTTGGCAAGTAGGAGAAAATCTGCTAAATGTATGAGCATCATTCCTCTGTAGGTGGCCCTCATTCTTATCTCAAGTAGTTAGTGTGTAATAAAGAAGCAACCAGTGATAATGCAAATGTAAGAGAATACGTGTCCATTACGGAGATTTCTAGCACTCAAGCTGCGTGACAAGTCCCTGAGTTCTTCTTCCGGATGTTCCTATCACAAGAACTTATTTCTTAGCTTGTGTGGGTAACAGGGATTGATTACTGGGTTTCTCTGGGTAGATAAGCTTGGTGAATATATCTCAATGAGAAAAACCTGTAGAAAAAAGACGGTGCATGACATTATGCAATTCTGCGCAGAAACATTAACCACAGCGTGCCAAATAAATCTCTGCGAAATTGGCCAAAAGATCTGCATAAAAAGTGACGTCATTGCTTTTCTGTTAAAAATCTTGAGTCCCTTTTTTATTGAAACCATATTTTATTTTTATTTATCTTAAAACCAATGTTATTATTGAAAGAAGTGATTTTGTTGACAAAATCTTAATAGCTTGGGTCTTATCCACAATGATTGCTAGTGTGAGAACTGCTGTAGCACTTTGAAGTGGTATGAACTGTGAAAATGTGGTAGGAGGCCTGGTTTTATAAGGGATCATTATTAGTAGACCCTGTCTCCCCTTTACCTGGAGAAAATTAAATTATTTTTTGTTGCTAGTTAAAAGGAACAACTGTAGAGTGAATTACTTTAAAAATGATGCATAGGATTATGACTAAGAAATAATTATGAGTGTGTACCTTGAATGAGACAATTTTGGACTACATCTTTGGCATTTTAATAAGTCACAATTGTAATTTCATGCTAATGGATATCACCTGATTATAGAACTTATAAAAAATAATCTCATGTAACCTGTGGCATGGACGTGTACATAAAGCGGGACTTATAAAAAACTGCCAGAAGAAATTTCCCTGGGAAATGTATGCAGAGGAATTTAAAATACTGATTTTCTGTGGCCATTGACAGTGATTAGCATTTGCTTTACCTGACAGCACTAAGATCTATGCAGGCAGCCAGGAAAGAAGAGCATGCCATAATGCCAAGAATTCAATTTCCAAGTAGAGAGTCAATTTGGTGTATCCTAGTCAAACCTTGTGTTTTTCAATTTCCTTTCAATTGTCCCCAGTAATTATTTCAGTTCACTTTTTGGTTTACCTGCACAGCTATTTCCCAGGGCACAGATACATCCCAGTAATTTTAGAGAGAGATACATTCAAAATGTTGTATGGGCATTTCATGTCTTAAGAAAATGCCACCAGACTACAGAGGATTCTGAGACATAGATAACAGTTACCAAACGCTAAAAATTGCTGAATGAACATGATGCTCCATATGAAACACTTTATTCTTTACCAAGCATATTATATTAACGTATACAGTTTAATATTTTATATCTCAGTTCATATCTATCTTCACAGAAATGAAATAAAATGATGGTGACGTAGACTCAAGCAATATATACTTTGAACATCCAGGGCCAAGTTTAACCCAAAATGAGCAAACTCAATTTAACTTGTAAGACTCCAAATCACTGGAAAATGTCAATTTATTAGAACTTGGCATAAATATACCTTAAAGGAAACGAACACTCAGAAACAAAGATAGCCTGAGAAAAACAAATCTAGCCACAGATACATCTTGCTTATGTTCTTTGTCACCTTTAATAGTCCTTCAGCATTTCCTTATCTCACTGTTGGAAATCATTGATCATATTTAAATTTTAATGTTGGAATGAAGAAATAAAAGCAATGTCAGCAGAAACGAGGAGCTTCCGGAGCCACTGGTTTCCTACAACATGAAGATGCTTTGTCTAAAGAGAAGAAGCATGTGTTTTACAAGTTCATCATCACTGACTTGAAATATGTTCAGGGCTTTCCAGGTGACATAATACATTTTTAAGGAAGCCCAGTCTTTTTTTTCTGATCAGAGATTCACAAATTCCAAAACACGTTACCACTGCATGGGACCAGTTAGAAGGATGCCAGTACTTACCATCTGAAGGAATGGCTTTCAGTGTCGACATCCTTTTTAAGCCCCATGTTCTTGCCTAACCAACCTTGTCACAAAGCAGGTCTGCACTGAACTAACTTATCTACAAATGGTGCATTTGCAATTTCCAACCTTATGAACTCCAAACTGTCTCCCCATACTAATGAGATTTCTCAATCATATTCACTTCTGGCTACATTGCATATTATGTCTTCAGTGGCTGACTCATTCCATTCTCTACTCATGTAGCTTATCATTATCTTGTCCACAGACAAAATACACATTGAATTCAAATGGCAATGCCCACTGACTTGAGAATCTTGAGAAAGACAGCAGCATTGTGGTCCAAATAGCAGGACCACTGAGGAAAATATTAGAGCTAGTGAAGATTATTTTGCCCTCTGGGAGTACAGAGTACAAAACACAAACAATAACAACAACAAGTTACAGTAACTCCTTGCAATGGATTTCCCTTAGTAGTTTGGTTTTATTGTTTTTCATAAAAATTGGCAAAATCCAGCACAACTTCGTACACTGCTCCAAGAGCTTTATTTAATAATAATTATGTGGCTCACTTTCCCGCTTAATAGAACATCACTTTCTCTTATGTTTATTAATTTTAAAACCACTGAGGCATTTGTCTAATCAGCTTCACTCTGAACAAAGGAATAACCTGATTACAGTATATTGTTAATATGAAAATGAACAGCAGAGACCTTTCCCAGTGAACGTTCTCACGTTCTATCTGAAGACAAGTGTTCTGCATATATGCAAACATTGCAGACAGACGGCTTCTTATGTTTTACGCACTATAATATTAAGATAACCCCACCTCATTATTACATTCCAAAAAGTATCCGTGCTATCTCCATTTTAAAGTATTTAACCTCCAGTAAGATAATCTACTGTGCTTAGTTCAAAATAAGGAGAGAAAGCAACTCAAATATTCTATCAAGTTCAATCAATCAAAAACTCCCTGCTTCACGGAGTTGCCAGAATTCTGGACCTAGCCTTCAAGTTTACCAAAAAAAAAAAAAAATCACAAGGCAGAGCTTCAACTTATCATAATACCGTAGAAAGATGTTAGTTACATTTTACCAGTGCCAGACCCTTCACTAGAGCAATATTATAGGAACCTGAAATTATTTCTGCACTTCCCACCACCCAAGAGCCTGGCAGCTTGTATTAAAAATAGTACACATGCAGAAACTCCCTTAAGTATCTCACTTAAGTTTTAAGGCACTCCAATTATTGAGTCTTCTTTCTAAGAATCACTGAAGAGGTTTATGAAGACATACCAAACTGTTCATGTGTAAATTGCTCACAAAAATCAATTGACTTCTGTTAGTGCAATGTATTAGGACTAATTAAAATTACCATACCCAGCAGCCAGTCTGTACCTTCCCAAATATCCTTTTCCAGTATCCATAACCATGCACTGCTCTGTCTTCCATCATGCTGCTTTTATTGCTGAGTGAGATGCTTGCTCCTTCATTAAATAGCATTAAAAATAGACTGCACAGAACTCCCCACTGGGGCATGCTCTGACAGGGCTAATGCCACAGTTCTCAAGGTAACTCCACTCAGCTGGGATTTGGGAGGGATAGTCACTGGGAGGGCAGCAATTTGCAAATCTAACGGCACACACAAACCTGTCTCTGTCTGAGCTGAGCATTGCCAAGTACATCAGCTTGTAGTAGAATTAAGTCACTGAGAAACTGCAAGTCAGTTTCTGGAGCTGTGTAAGTTTCTTTAAAGATGACTCACCTAAACAAAGTATTCTGTTAAATAGTCTACAGCAACTTTATATTATTTATGAAGTAACAGAAATCATGTCCAGACAAGGTAAATTAAGACATTCATGCATAGGAGTCTAAATGACTTAGAAATTGCATCTAAACCAAGTTATTTTAAAGCTATTAATTGCATTGATAAGCAAGGATAGTACTAGATTAGCCTTTTGTATCTTTTGTGACGAGAAAGTGTACTCCTTAGAGAATATACTAAACTACCCAGAAAATTTAAAAATATTCTGGTAGTTGAAGTGATAAAAAAAAGTAAAACACTGTGATATGAAAGTAAATATAGGTTCAAACACAAACACATACCTTAAAAATCCACATAAATCTGAAAGGAGTGGACACATCATTTCTCACATGCGATCCCCATTAGGAATGCAGCAGAAGCAATTATTGCCAAGAGAGTAGATTACGTGGCTATTTGAACAAAACATAGCTAGAGCTCTCGGTTTCCAAATGACTGCCTTTTGTGAAAATGACACGAACTACAATACTATTAAGACAGGCAAGCCCTGTGGTGACACAAATACAGAGGATCAAAGGAGCAGGTGCATTTATTTTAAAGCGAGTGTCAAAGATTTTCTAAGTTTTACCGTATGAAAAATGATTCCCTGTCATCTCCATTTCTCTGTTTTCTTAAAACACTCATAGCAATTTTGATGATCTCCAAAGTGGGTGAGGAGGAGGTAGGAATCTTTCGGATTTAGTCAGCATTTGCACGGAATCTTGTGCAGCTTCCTTTCAACTTTGGAGAACGCCATGCTTGTTTAGAGAGGCTGAAGTGTCATACCAATAGCCTTAATGATCATAAATCTAGCAGGTATCTGGTATCTGCATTCTAAACACAGTCTCGTGAAAGTGGTTATCTACCAGCCTTGCATTGTGCTTACCAGCTCCCCATCCCCATAACTTGCAATTCCATCTTTGCTTTGCCTTTTAGCCTCGGACCCTGTCCTTATCCTGTATCCTCAGGAGGTGACCGAGTACCGAGCCTGAGCAGCTGACAGCCACCGACCGCATCCTCTCCAGCTCTAGTTCTATGGATAAAGGCTCAGTCCATTTCTCTTCCTGAGAAACTTTCTAAGCACCTGTCTAATTCAACTCAGTTCTACCACTCAATTTACAATCTGCTGCAGAAGATGTCCAATTAGGGTTTGCCATGAAACACAGTTTCCAAACGGGTAAAAATAAAGCTGAACATCTATCCCCCCCCCCCCGACCCCCGAACCCCCTTGGGAGCCAAGACCCCACGTCCTGCGAGTCCAACAAACAGATTACAACTTTTTTGTGCCTTGTATGGCTCTCTTTCAGATGAAATCAGAGCCTTACAAACTTTCTATCTTGATACCTGCATAAATCACTGGAGACTCCTCTGATGGAAAGAACTGCCCTTCTCAATCCTCTTCCATCTTCCCATCTCTGCCTCATTTGGGGGAGGGGTTGTTTACCCCTCGCTTGACAAACATAACACAATACACATATAACAACAGCTTTCTGCAAGCACGAAGGAGAAGGACAGACTGGAAACAATTACAAAGAAAAGCACAGATCTATGGCAGAAAGGAGAAGAAAACAATTCACAAAAGGCGTGCAATGCTCACGTCGAAGACCTTGATGATTACCTTGACCGCTCAGTGGATATCCCCCCAGCGTCTTGGTGCCTTGTCTGATTTAATTAAGTTTTTGGCTTTTATTAATATTATTGTTTCTCAATGATTTGATTTGGCTGGATTAGTTTGATTTGGCTTGGCTTTTTTTTTTTTGGTCGATTTATTTAACTGCTAGTAAAACGAGGTTTTTGCAGCGTAGGCTGGGATCCTTGCAAGGCTGTGGCGGCCACTGGTTCGGCAACGCCGGTGGCTTCAGCGGGCGACCCCGCCGCCCCTGCCGCCTGTCGCTGCTCCAGACACACTCGGGGGGCACGCCGCTGCCTTTTCCGCCCGGGGGGGGCTGCTGGGAATGAACGTGCCCCCACCTCCTGTCTGCCCGTCTGTCTCTCTGCACGTTGTCTGTCTGTCTCGCGCTCAGCCTGACAGCACGGCTCGGGATTCTGGCTTTCCTGCGCTCAGTTCTCCAGCTGCCACTCTCGCTGTCAGTCCGCGAGTGGGTCTGTCTGTTCCTCCTTGGTGCTCCGTCCCACTAGCGACGCAGGGTCCCTCTCGCCTTCTTCTGAGCCCACATCTCTCTCTCTCCCGCTCCCACTCAGTGCTCCAGCCTCTTCCCTCGGACAGAGGAGGGCGTCTGCAAGGGAGGCAGCACGCGAATCCTCTCTCTCTTTCTCTTCGCTCTCCCTCTGTCTCAAGCTGACTGCTCGCACCTGTCCCTAGCGCTGTCACTGTCAGCCCCGCTCTGAGCCAGCCAGCCAGCTTCAGTCTGTCCCTCGGTTCCGCGTCCCCTACCTCCCCGCCTTCGTCGTCTGCCCCTCCGCCCGACTCTGCCCTCCCACGCGGCTGGCACTGCCGCGGGGGGCGGTGCCCGGCTCCTCTCCGCAGCCCCTGCCGTGTCCGGTCCCGCCCCGGCTGGAGGCAACGCTGCGCGTGTGCCATGTGGCTCCGCAGCTGCCTGGGCTGCAGACTCTAGTCCCCTGACCCGCCACACCCCGGAGATGGCCGCGGCTGGGTGCCTGCGGTTGCCCGAGCCTCTCTGCCTCAGGGCGCGGCCAGAGTTGGCCGAGTCGGAGCACCGGCACCTGCCAGGTGCGCCTGGTGCGCGCGGTTCCATACATTCCCCTGGCCGTTTTCCACCAGCCCCAAGGCTAGAGACAAAGCGCATGAGCCACGCGCAGCAGCGTGAACATCATTAATCAGAGGGAAAACTGGCACGTTGCCCCCTGCCCCTCCACACAGCCTCCCTGCTCCGGGCCAGCAAGCGCGCACTGCCCGGGCTGCCCGAGCCCAAATGCATACCGCTCGCTGGCGCCTCGCGACTCCTGGGGCACTTGGCAAATCCTTGCTCAGCTCCCTTGCTCCGGCGCTCACTTTCCAGGCCAACTCTGCAGAGAATATCCCACACAAACACCTCACTCCGCCCAATGAATCCTTAGCCTCAGAGCTCCCAGAGACTCGCGGCTTGGAGCAAGACCGAAAGTCCGGTGCGCGGCGCCAAGTGCACTCCCTGCGGGCGCCTGCCCTGACTGCGGCCGCCGCCGGAGCGCTAGTTTAGAATCACAAAGGTGCCGCAGAAACGCGGCGGGGCAGGGAATGGGGCAGGGAACCGAGCTGACATCCAAAGAAACAAAAGAGCTGCGTTTTCCATTTGTTTTGGAGATGTGCTATTTTTGTTATCTGTAATTTTTTTTAATTGTCTCAGGGCGCACACTACCAAAAAAAAAAAAAAAAAAGGGATTGTGGAGGAATGGGAATACATTTCCGGAATACCACCCACCCATCCTGAGTGCTTGCAGCGCCTACTTTTCCAACATTTTAAGTCACCAGCCAAGAGATATCATTCTGGCTTCCTGCCCCCAGCTGAGAGCAAGGCATTTGATTCTGGGTTTCTTTGCTAGGTTGTTATTAATGTGAAGCAAAATTATAGTTGTACATGCCTGCACGGAATTGCCAAAGCTCATTTTGACAGTATCCAGCAATTCAGCTTCTGAAATGTAGACGCTGAATAACTACGGAGCTGGTACAAGGAACACCACCCCCCCCCCATCCCACAATAAATCGAAGAGGAGAAAACCAACTTTTACCAGCTGCAATTAGTCACCCCATGAGTAGACAACAAATAAATAACTAGCATAAACCACATCATAAAAACTCCACCTCCTTGTAGTTTCACTTATGGACATCCGTTTTTGATGACAGGCATTATACACAGATTTATTAAGGGATGTGCCTTCCCCTTTTTAAAGAAACGCAATTTCAACAGCTGTAGCCAGGTTCACATGTGCTAACATAGTGACTGTAAGTACCGAAGAGATAATGCGTGCAGTTCTACACACCACTGTGAAAAACAGGAGAAGGGTGTGTTGGCCCTCGATTAATACCTCATGACTGTATTTTCCAAATATTAGAAGTTGTCTGCCTTGGGATCAGCTATTGCTGGAATAGGAACGAGGTTTCAGCAAATGAAGCCTAAGAAAGTCAAGACCCTTATGTCGATCTATTTCTGCTCAGTCCTCTCCAAAAGCATTTTAACAGGCATTTCCCCTGCCCCTTCCTCCTAGCCATATGGAATTCAAGGGAAAATTAGTAAAAAAGTATTTCCAATTCTCTTTCCTTTCCTTTATCTCAAGTCATGAAAAACCCTACATTGGGAGGGGGGTTTCATGCCAAGTTGTGCTATGTCATAATTCCACACAATTGGGACCACATGGGAAGAGGGCCAGCGTATTTGACTTTCTTTCTGGATGGGACTAGACATCAGCATCTCTGGGCTGGATGGATGGGTAACTCACTAACAGGAAAACTTAACGGTTTGCCCTTAGTGCAAATTCTTCCTCAAACAAATCAGATTTTACTCTGAGAATTCACTAAGACAATGGAACCCACTGCTACAAACTGAATTAGCAATTATAGCCATCGAGTTGAGGGCAACTCAATCAGTACTCTTAGTACAAACTGCAGAGATTATATAAGAGAACAAGATGAAATGTTTCCGCATCTTAAAACTGCATGGACAGACAGACTGGATGACAAAATTGAACACAAAAAGGAAAGCATCCCAAAGAAGAGGAAGACTAATTGGCTTCCCGTAATTTCTACCAGTTCTCGTGACATTTCGTCAACCAATTAGGAACCGAAGAAGGCTCAAGTTTATTGGGGGCCATGTAGACAAATAACTTTCAGCTATCCAATGGTAAGTTTTCTGTCCCAGTGTGGGACTGAAATATATATACTTCGGAGAATGTTAGGCAGGCAGTGAGCTGGAAGTGATTCTTCTAGGCATTCAGAAGGCGTTTGTGCTTTTAAAAAAACAATTTGAAAGAGTTACCATTCCTAAAAGTCCTTGACCTGCCATTTGTTAACCACCACCAACCTCACTAATGCTGATGTGTACCTTACTGGACTTCTCTGGTGACAGATCCACAGCGCCTGTCACAGACTTTTCCATGCACTGGAAGCATCTTAACTTTGGGGGCAGGAGACGGTGGTAGTGTGAGAAGAGAAAGTGGTGCTGTTATTCTTTTGATCCGGGTGCTTGTGAATGTATTCGGTATCGTGTTTGGAATGAAAGAGCCTGCACGTAACCAGGTAACCCCAGCCTGGGGAGTTGTGCTCACCTACACACCGGCAAACATCTAAGATTGTCTCGACAAGCTCCTTTAAACACATATTCCCCGGAGACGCTAAATTAGTGTCCTCTAATGAAGCTTCCAAATTGGATTTTCAAAATAAGGCAAATTGCTAAAATCACCCAGCTACCTTCGTAAGCACCTTCTCAGCTGAAGCGCGAAGTAGAATTTCCATGCTGTTGAACTTCCACCATTCCTCAACAATTCGGCTGCGAGGAGCTCCCCTTTAGGGCTTTCTCTCCCACCACCAGCAAGGTCTCTAGATCCCCTGGAGAGACTTCTCATTTGCCCTGTTTCCAACAAAACAGCCCAGGGCTTATTACAGACCAAGTCCTGGGTTTAAAGGCAAACAAATACGCGTGACACAGAAAGACAGGGGAATGGGAAGGGGAAGGAAAAGATTAGCGTTTCAACCAGAAAAGTTTAGTTCCCCATTCTTATTTTATGCGAAGCCAAAATAACTCTAAAGCACATTTCAGAACATCAACAAAGAATGTTACATCATGTATGCATCTGAGCACGAAGAAATGTCACGATCAAAAACAAAGAGGACTTGGGAGACTAGAAACCAAATGTTCTGATGGCACCGATCCCTTGGCGGCAGCCATGTTTCCTTCCTCTGTAGTCTGCTGGGTGAGGTGCAAGAAAATGATCTCCGTGAACCCTCGGTGTTCTCGCGGGCAGACCATGAATGACCACTGGCCTTCACACGCAAACACTGATTCTTTGCTGGGAATGCGAACCAAGAAATTCCCTCAAAAACAAATGTGGGCAGTATTTTCATAGAGATGCATCTCAATCTAAGGAGGGACAGTAAGAAGAAAGAGGAGGAAATAACTCAAGAGTTGGAAACCTGTCACTGAAAGATCTCAGCAGCAAAACACAAAAAATGGCTGTAGACTAAATTACCTATTTCTTTTCAGTGTCTCTTCAGGTAGAAATACCAGCATTCAGACACATCTCTAGTATTTGGGGATCCTGTCCCTCTGGACCCCAGAGCACTGTGTTTCTTTCTTCTCTGTACTCGGGGCCCCGAGGGCCCCGCGGCTTTGGCACAGCGGAGGCAGGCGCAGCTGGCAGCAGAGCCCACAGATGCAGGAACTCCGAGTGCAGAGCAGGTGCGCGCAGGCAGGACATCCTGCAGGCCCTCTCTACCTGGCCCGCGCCAGTACCCCCTCCAGGAACTGCTGCCACGCAAAGTGTTCTCGACTTCCTACGGGGCCCATGAGAGATGGTTTTCATTAAAAAAAAAACACAAAACTGGGCTCAGAATTGAAAGCAGAAATGAAGCCAAAGCATCAGGAGCTTGTATGGGGAGAATAGAGGTAAAATGTTATCCCCCTGAAATGCAAGGAATGAATCAGAGCATAGCCTAACATTTGCCAAAGCACTGTGTGCGAGCCTGCCTCCACTTTTATGTTCCCGTTCCCGAGATAAAGCATTTTCACACAAAAGAAGACAAAGGTTACCAAGTTGTTCTGAACTTGGAATAATATATTAGGCTTCTCGACAATGAGATGATATTAAAAGGTCTATGGATTAGGCACTAGAATAAAGCAGCTACCATCCATCTCTAATGAAATATAGGTCATTTACATTTTAAACAGTGCTTCATAATTCAAAATGGTATATGTGTGTGGGTGTGTATGCTTAAAAGGTAAACCATATCCACAGTGTTAATATTTCAAAAGAATACTAAGATCTTACTGGGAACCCAGTTGTAAGCCAATACCCAGTGTCTGAAAAAGAGTGTACAGATTTGTAATTATGCATAAATGTATGTGCAATTTGTTCTCCAAAGCTACTCTTTAAAAACTGTTTTTTTTTCTTTTGAAAATAAATGCACATTTGCAAAATCTATAGAGACATCATGTTAAAAAAAAAGGTGAGGGCAATCAAGACTAAGAAAATAAAAATCTCTCAAAATATCACCACCCAAACAGCCATCAATCACTTTTGTGCTTAGCCAATCTCTGTGCATATATATCCATAAATATATAACATTATTTTGTATCGATGGATTGCAAAATACATGTTACTTTATAATCTGGTCCCTTTCTACTTTGGAATAAGTCGCGGGGTTCTTTTTATGACATTGACTATATCAATATATGAATGACCACATGGTAGCCTGTTACACATCAGTGACAGCCATGGGTGTGCATGGCTTCCT